AACTTGTAAAAGATCCCTGTAGCCATGTTATTGTTATACTACTGCTGTTAAGAAGGCCACGGTACTGTAACAATACAGTTATATACTATTTTATAAATAGCAAATTTGTGTTAAATTAATATGCAGTATAAGTTTGTATAAATACTTTATAAAGTATAATATTTTACTAATTAAAGAATTAATAAGTGATTACACAAAAGACATGTATAGAAAAAAATTTAAAAATAAAAAAACAAATTAAAAAAAATTTAAGAAAGCAAAAATTATTTTTAACTATAATTTAATTAATATAAAATTAATAAACTTTATTTAGAATTTATTTTAACTAGAAGAATAAGCTATAACTTTTATTATAGTTACAGAGTAAATTGTGAAGACTATTTGTAAGAAATAGTTAAAAGTTTAATTTAAATAACCAAAGACTATAATTGTAATTTTAAATCAAAGTTTAAGAAATATAAACTTGAAACTTTTAAAATATATATAAAATTATTTTAGTATAAACAAATTTTAGAGTTAATTTTGTATAAAGGATTTATAGAAAAAGTTTTTTTATAATATCTGTAATGTAAAAATTCAAATAATATAATTTTTTTATATTTGTAAAAAAGTTTAATTAAATTTTAATAAAAATAGAAACATGAGCTTATTGTTGAAGATTAAAAAAAAATCAGGCCAATTTTTTATAACTTTTTAAACAAGAATAATTTAACAAAACTTTAACCAAATTTAATAAAAATTTTTTAAATAATTTTTATAAATTTGTAAAATTAATTTTAAAAATTTTTACTAAGCTCAATTAAGTTTTATAAGTTATTCTTGTTTAAAGTTTGAAAAAAATATTAAAAAGTATTTGATTGATTTCTATTGACTCAAATAAGAGCAAAAATTATTTACATATAAATAAGAAGTGGTATGTTGGTTAAAATATTCCGAATTGACCCAATTGGAAAATGCCGGAGGCTGATTTTCCTAGCAAAGATAATTTAATAAATAGTAACAGAATTAACAAAAAACAAAAAAACCAAATATAATAGTAATATAAAGCTTGATAAATATTAGCAAAACTACTTAAGGCAACAAACAATAAAAAACAAAAATTTACAAACGTATATAGACAATAAAAAGATAAGAAAATAAATAAACCAGTATACAAATTATATAAGATATTAAAAAATATTACAAAACTAATAAAACAGATTAATTATAGTGCGCGCCAAATTTTAAAATTTTTTATAATAAAACTTTACAGTATATTAAAAATATTAACCAATCAAAATTCTTAAAAATTATATAAATTTTATTAAATTTATATATAAATGCCAAATTTTTAAGATCCATATATTTTTAAATTAATATAACTCTTTTAAAATTAAAATTTTTAAAAATCCCTCTTAGATTTGTTAATTATATTAAAACAAAATTAAGAGGGATTTTTATTTTAGTTTGTTTTTAAAAAGTTATAACCATTTAACTATTTAAAAAAATTGGTTATCATATCCTGTCCTGGGCTGTAGTAATTATTATTATGAATTAGAAGTTAATCAATATATAAATTATAATAAACTTTAGCAAAAAATTTTATATTATTATATTATATATAAATATAAAAGCTCTAAATAAAAATATAAATGGCACACATACCTTTTAAAAACATAGTTGTAAATTTTTATATACAGTATTCAAATTTAAATCAATATATATATATATACTTTATTAACTTTTTATATATACAGTATCAGTGAAAAGGTAAATTCGACATTAGATATATATTTGATCTTAGGAATTGATAAAATAATAATTTTTAAGTTGGTACGTATTAAATACAGTAAATAGTTAATTGTTAACGTTAATACTAGAAATATTGACAAGCATTTCTAATAAAGCCATTTTTTTTTTAACAAGAGAATTTATAAAATTTCGAAAATTTTTTGATATACTTATATATTATTTTATTGGCTAAAATACATTTTATCATTTCCATTTTCTACATTTTATGCATTGTTAAATAAATGCTTTTAAAATGATAAATTTAGAAATTTTCTGTTAAAAATAAAAATAAAAATAATTAGTAAATTAGATTCATATTAATTCATAGTAAACATATTATAATATCGAGAAAGCACACCTTTTCCATAGAAAAATCTTGTTCCATCTTCGAATCCTTGACTCCATAAATTACATTTTTCATGTAGTGCTTTTCCAAGCGGTTTTGGACCACAAAAGAATACACCTACATCGGTAGCCGGATATTGGTCTCTCATGTTTGAAAATATTTTATCCCAATTTGGACGTCCAAAATGCGTTGGTGCTCTAAGACCTGTGATGGTATCTTTTACATTGCCGTCATCATTAACAAGAATGTTTCCTACTTCTGAATGACGCAATCTGCCAGTTAAATATGTATGAATTTCAATAAATTGTTCGATGTCTTGTTCTTCAAGAGCTAACAATAGCGATTGGAACCATTCAAAAGACTTTAAAAAAAAAAAAATTAAGATTGTTAATATTTTTATATATTTATAAGCAATGCATTAATATAATGGTTTGAATTACATGACTTATCATGAATAGTCATGAATAAAAACTCACATCATAATCACGGCAAATCCAGAAGAAGTATACTTTACGAAGTTTGGTAGATTTTCTTGGATAATTGACACGATACCTATATATTCAAAAATGATAATAAATAAATAAAAATAAATAAATAAATAAATAAATAAAAATTCAATATATACATATATATAGATGGATATAAATTAATGAAACTTACCAAATACTTTTAAGAATACTTGCAAATGGAGTGACACCAATACCAGCACCAACGAGAATAGCAACTTCAAATTTGAATACATCCTCCGATGCACTACCAAAAGGACCATCAATCATAACACGAGGTAAAACTTTTAATAGTTTAGGATTATCACTAGAAATATCAACCCCATCGTATTGACTTTTTATGCGATCTCTATTTTTTTTACGTAATTCAGCTTCTTCATCAAAATTACAACCAAGTTTTTTGGCCAAAGCTTCAGTAAAATCACCAACAACACGGATATGAACTGAAATATAACCTTCTTCAGGAGCGGAAGTTAAAGTAAATGGATGCCATTGCCAATAAGAAACTTCAGGACAACATAAAAAGATATATTGGCCAGCTTTTGTAGTAATACTATTCTTTTTAATTTGAATTTCAACAACACGAGAAGGATGCATGACAACTTTTGAAATATAAGTTTTTTGTTGAGCTCTTATTTCACGGAGAATACGTTCACTAACATAAATAACACCAGAAGCGATCCAGTATTTCCAAAATACAGCAATATCGCTACAAAAAGGAGCACGATCGGGTTTAATCATACAGAAAGCACCGTGAAATGACCAAGCACCGAAGAAAGGAATGAAAAGATGGTGAAGGTACCAAAAACGATTAAAGTGACTACGTCTGGCTTTTTCAGTAGCAGTATATACCATTATACCTAAACTAATTAACATAACATAACCAGTAGCACCGGGACCAGTGGCAAAGTTAAGTTCAAGCCACATGACGATACCACCATTTTGAGCTTTAGCGAGTTCGTAAAAGTTGACCCAATGAGAAACGGTATGAACAGCAGTGAAGAATGCGAGAGACCAACCGATAGCTTTATGGAATTCAATGTTCTCATCAAAAGGGATAATACCATTTAAGGGAGTAGCACGAAGCATAGAAATTAAGTTTCTACAAACAGGGAATAAAATCATAGCAGCATCAACGTGTAAGACTAAGGCAGCGGAACGTGCAGTTATAAATGTAATGCCAAAAGCTTGTCGTGCATTTGAAAGATTATCGCTAAAAAAGAAATTGAGAAAGGCCATGCTAAACACAAGAGCATGAAGAAATATCCATGTGCCAAAAAAAATGGCACGAGCTCCTACAAATGTGAAGTGATCAATATATAAATATTGGTAAAAATATATATATATATATATCTATATTAACATAGAGAAGGACTGGCAATAGAGAGACAATGTTATGCGAATGTAATAAAATTACCTTCATTAATCATCCATGATTGAAATTTTTCAATCAGGGTAACGGGTTTTTTGACAGTTACACTTGAATTAAAACCACTAGTGGGATCAAACCTATCAAGTTTTGGTATTTGCTTTACGGAATCGCCTCTTGCAAGTTTTCTAACAGCAGGACCTGGTACTACATTTTTTGCTGAATTATACCTATGAAGGGCGACTTCTTCAGGATATAATATATTTTCGGGAGAACTAGTAATATCAGCTGTAAAACTTTCTCTATTTGTTTCATCATATTCAGAAATATATCTACTATCTCCTTGGTACGGATTATACCCCGGAGCAGAAGTTTCTAAATTTCTAATGTTACTCATTTTTATTAAGGATGGTTTTTTTTGTTTTGGGGTTTTTTTTTACAAGGCGTTATTTATTTTAGAGTGCTCAACAAAAATTTTTTGGATAAATTTACAAAGCTCGGCCAGCGAGAGAACGAGAGAAAGAGAGACCTCAATATCGTAATGTTTAGGGAAAGGGTTTTATGATTTTTTTTTAAAAAAAAGAGTGAATAGAGAATTTAGAAAAATGAGAAAACAAGGAGTTTGTCATAATAAATTATAATAGCAACCACTCATATTCTTTGACAAACGGGTTAGATTGTATAAACGAAGAAGGATGGCAACATTATTACTAAATACGGTTGATATAGATCAGGAGAAAATACATACAACGTTTTAAATAACTATAACACATTTTGTGAACCAGTAAACCAAATGGGGCATTTTTTAATAAAAAAAAAATCCTCCTTGTATTTAAATGACCCGCGGATCGGGTTTTAGGATATTAGTCCCGGAAAGTATAACAAAATTTCAACCGATGTCATACCAAGTTTTTTTTTATAAATTTAATATAAGAGAACCAATCATTTGTAAGCATTATTTTAGCCGATTAATAAAATACCAATAAAAACTAAAAGGACGAAACCGGCCGGAGCGGTCTTCCCCTAAGTTTGAACATGGAATAGTATTTTTAATTATTTTTAATTAATGGTAATCTAGACTAAAATTACGAAAATTTTATTTACATCAATAATCACCTGAGGTCTATTACATTTAGCTAGAGGGAAAAAAGAAAAGGATACTATCATGGTTAATTAGCCTAAAACCATTTTGCAGTGAACTAATATGTACGTACGTGTTTGAAATTCAAATCTCTTAAGATCTTTAAGTTCTTGGAGTCCTTGGCGGAATAATTTCGAGCATTTTTTTTTAAAAAGTTTCAAGGTTGATATGATTTTCAGAACTTATAATGGTTTAGTGGTTTAGTTACGATAGTCAAATGGAATCTAAAAAAAAAAAAAAAAAAAATTTTTTAGAAAAATAGATTTATTTTAGAATAGATTTATTTTAGAAAAATAGATTTATTTTAGAAAAATAGATTTATTTTAGAAAATAGATTTATTTTATACGGAAAAAAAAAACCAAATTGGAGAGTAAATAAAGATTTTCACGAACATCTTGAAAGTCAAAATGAAGAATTTATTAGATATTGTGAATGCACCAATTCCCTTGAACATAAATAATTGAAAATAGAAGATCTGATTGACAACAGTATATGTTTATTCAAAACAATAAATTAAAATAAAAATAATTACACAATCTATACGTAGAAAGTTTTGTCTTAATCATACATTCGTATATAGAAAGATTGGAGACACCTAATGATTATAATGATAATGATATTGATATTTCAAGTCAGTAGATATGTTGTAAGTGGGAATGGAACCATAATAGGGTTCGGAATCCACTTAGATTAGAACGGAATAATTATACTAAAAATCCCAACCCTAACCCGAATCAACTTAAATTCTATTCCCACCTACGACATATATAAGTACTGTAACCGTTGATCACTAATTTGATATGAAAATTTTGATTAATTGAGTCGACGTTATGTTCTCAGGTAATAATGTGTTTGCAAAATGAAACCTAATATGTTTATACTGTACTTGAGTTGGTTCTCAATTTGATAGTGATCAGGGCTGTCCTCGATAATCATTTCGCTGACAGGTCATTTAGCCGACATTACACTAAAAGCAGAGACCGTTAATGTTACACATATATTAAAACTGGTGAGGGATTATATCCATCACAATTGAATCCAATATAAACAATTTAATTTGTGATTGATCACAAGAGAGAGGGATTCACTCTGGATCGGGCACTGTCTCTGCTGTTCATTACACTGCGTGACAGTTTATATACAACTAGGGCTTCCGTCCTGACACCATAAATAGGGATTTTGATCACACAATAATACGCAATTTCTAACAATATCAAATATTCATGAATGGTTTTCCAATTCCTTAATCACACAGTAATGTACTGTACCTTCTACATTTGGGCTTTGTTCGAAACGGGCTTGGAAACGGTCTCAAAATGATCGAGTAAATCGACTCAAGAACCTGGTTCGGCAAGCTTTTTAACCTATCTGCAACGGTATGTGATGATGGCTAAATGACCTGTCGGTGAGCCGCAGAACAATTAAAAAAATTGCATCAAATTGAAACTTAAATATTGTTTCATTAAAGTGGAAACCTATGTTAGGGTGAGGTAGGTATTAGCATTATACGTAATTATACGTAATTATTTTTAATCTTACGCAGATGCGTATTTGACGCACAACATATCGATATACAGTAAATCTTAACCAAAAACAAGTATGACTATTTGATATTTAATGTTTTTCAAGTATCTTTTTATAATTATTTATTCGATTTATTTAAGCGAAATAAAATTTTGAAAAATATCAATGATTTGGTTGTTTCTGCAGGAAATTATATCATGAATTTGCATTAGCTTAGGTTCCTGGATATAAATCCTTTAAGTCCTGACATAGAATTGACATAGAATTGACATAGAATTGACATAGAATTGACATAGAATTTATAGAAATTCTTGTGCTATTAAACATTCCAACAATACTTTGAATCATATCATTCGCATTAACATGCCTCTTTTTCACATTTTTTTTTCACGTGAACATTTACAGTACATTGTGACAAAAAATCGTTTGGCACAGTATTAAATTGTCTATAGTCTATAGATAATTAAGAATGTAAAGTTAAAATTACAGTATATATATCCAGTATATATTTGTATATATATATATTATTTATTTATTATACCTATATTATTTATTTAGTTATTTATTTATTATATGTAATATATGAATATTATTTATTTTCTAAATACTTATAACCACAGTATATATATACAAAATTAGTGGTTATTGTTTTTTTGCAGATTAATTCAAGATTTAATTAATTCAAGGTTGAAATGGTTCAATCATTGTCAAAAGAGAAATTCGATCATTATCCTCCCTTTTTATAAAATTAAATTTAATAAATGCCAT